CGTCAATTTGTCACCAGGTCCGCCACCGTATTTTGGCTTACGGTCCACTCCGTACGGGATGTACCGTAACTTCGCAAACTATCTTATTGGTCACAGCACTTCCCTCACACAGTGAAATACGGTCCATATCTTTACGGTCCGGTCCGTACATAAAATTTACGGGACGGACCGTAGGCAAACCGTACTTCCTTACGGTATTTTTTACAGTGTTCCGTGAAGACACCCAAAGTTTCTTGAAATCCAAGAAAACACCAGGTACTAAAAGTAACTTTTTATACCGTGAGGAAGAAACAACGACGGGTCGACGGGTGATACCATTACCCTCACGCTCGTCCTGCTCCAACGGTGCCGTACCTCTCCCTCCTCCCACCCCGTGACATAGAGGCACTCGTAGAGCACTCGCACTCCACTTGCATTGCACTCGGGCTGCACTCGTCTGCGCATTCGCATCGCCCTGGCATCGCACTCGCGTTGCACTTGTCCGCGCACTCGCCACGCTTTAGCCTCGCCCTTACCTTGCCCTCGGAGTGCACTCTCAACGCACTCGATTCATGTTTAAAGGGAAACTTTCCTGTAACTACGTATCTGTTCTCAACTTTCCCTATGAATATCTCCGAGACCATTTGACCCACAGCTTTCAAATTTTGGGTTCAGAAAGTTTCAAGTCATACACTACAAGTTAGAGAAAAGGGCTTCTCTTAGGATCATGTCTTCTTAGAAAACCCATTTTCAGTATAGACTTCCCTTCACAGCTTTACCGAACACTTCTGCTACATATAAAAAAGGACAGCGTCATCTATAGCTGCTACACCCAGCAGCAGAGAGAAGTATTTATCCATTTCGTCAGAACACTGTTCTTCTATTTCTCTCTGTAAATGCCCAAACTACTCTTGTTAGACACCTTCTTGAATCTCCGTAAACTGAAAACAATCGAACAGCCTCCGTTGACAGGGAAGTGAGATTACACCTCTCAAATAGTCATAATCGGCTGGTGGCAACATTCTAAGGTGCAAAGCTAGTCTGATCACTGCCGGGTGCCGCGAGCCCACCGTTATTGATGGAGTGCCTCTTTGTTGGCTGAGCGATTAGCGAAGCCTATTACTCCGTCTGGTCGGAAAAAACTTTTCTGTCTGTCTGTCCGTCTGTGTGTGTGTCTGCCCGCACGATAACTCGAGAACGAATTAAGCGAGCGACCTGGGATTTTCAGGGTCGTTTTCTACCATAAAAAGACAGGGCGAGTTCGAAGATGAGCATTCTTACTCAAAAATTGGATTTTTAAAAAATCAAAAACAACGGGTCCCAAAAATGCAATTTTTCTAAAATATTTATATGGGTTTCTAGGGGGTAACTCATCAAAGTAGAGCCCTTTGGGTGAAAATTTCGTCCGTTTTGCTCTAGCTCAAACCGTTGAGGCGCTAGAGGGCGTTTTTAACGAAAAAAGGGAACAAATGTACGATCCTGCATGCTTAGTCGAAGTGACGGGCCGTTGACGGGCCGGAGGCCCGTAACTTTGTGTACATTTTTGCTGTACCCGACTCGGGTGTCTGCGCCGCAGGCCTAGGTAGATGTATGCCAGGCGCGTCGCAGCGTAACAGTGTTTCGTGAGATATCGCGAAGCCTGTTAC